CGGCTCACTGCAACCTCCGCCTCCCAGGTTCAAGCAATTCTCCTGCCTCAGCCTGCTGAGTAGCTAGGATTACAGGCATGTGCCACCACGCCCGGCTAATTTATTGTATTTTTAGTAGAGACGGGATTTCACCGTGTTAGCCAGTCTGGTCTCAATCTCCTGACTTCGTGGTCCGCCCACCTTGGCCTCCCAAAGTGCTGGGATTACAGGTGTAAGCCACCGTGCCTGGCCCGTAAATACTTAATTTCAAATGTTAACAAATAAATTTTTCCAGTCCCTTTTGTATCTCCACTTGAATAAGATCCTGTAAAGATCAGCAGTTTTTTAGAGTTTGATCAAGAGCTGAGGAAAGTATGCACTTTTTTTGTACTGTTAATATAGAATCATAGTGTAGCTTAGAGATAGATTGTACAATCCAGACTTACCATAGGGAAAGCTCTTTTTATTTTACCACCTTCTAAAAAGGATTCTGCTTTTACCTAATGATGAATTTAAGGTTTAAAATATTTAGGAGATTTTCATTCAAAGAATGTGAAAAGAATACTTGAGGTGTTTTTTGTTTGTTTGTTTTTTGTTTTTTGTTTTTTGTTTTTTGAGATGGAGTCTTGCTCTGTCGCCCATGCTGGATTGCAGTGGTGCAGTCTCAGCTCACTGCAACCTCTGCTTCGTGGGTTCAAGGGATTGTCCTGCCTCAGCCTCCTGAGTAGTTGGGATTACAGGCACCCACCACCACTAAGTTTTGTATTTTTAGTAGAGATGGGATTTTGCCATGTTGGTCAGGCTGATCTCAAACTCCTGACCTCAGGTGATCCACCCACTTCAGCCTACCAAAATGCTGGGATTACAGGCATGAGCCACCACGCCTGGCCTTCCTGAGGTTTGTAAATATAATAACTAACGAAGGAAACAGGTTTGGATTGAGGTTGTTACATATCTGCTCTTTACCAAATTGGCTTTTCTACCATTATTCCTCAGTACTTTGTTCTAGTTCGTTTTTTTAAAAAATTATTTATTTGTTATTCGTTTGTTCGTTCGTTCGTTCATTTTTTTGAGACAGAGCCTCCCTCTGTTGCCCAGGCTGGAGTGCAGTGGCACGATCACAGCTCACTGCAGCCTTGACTTCCGAGCTTAGGTGATTCTCCCACCTAAGCCTCTCTAGTAGCTGGGACCACAGTTGCATGCTACTATGCCCAGATAATTTTTTTTTGTAGAGATGGGGTTTACTCCATGTCGCCCAGGCTGGTCTCAAACTCCTGGGTTCTAGAGAGCCACCTGCCTTGGCCTCCCAAATTGCTGGGATTATAGACGTGAGCCACCGTGCCCAGTTATTATTTATTTTTCATTTTTAATTTTTGTGGGTACATAGTAGGTGTATATATTTATGGGGTATATGAGATGTTTTGATAGAGGCATGCAATGGGTACTAGTCACATCATGGAAAATGGGCTATCCATCCCCTCAAGCATTTATTGTTCATGTTACAAATAATCTAGTTATACCCTTAGTTATTTTTAAATGTTCAGTTATTTTTAAATATTTTAAATATTATTATTGACTTGTTCTAGTTCTGATGTGCTACTTTTTTTGGGGGGCGGGGAACAGGATAATAAACACCTTTATTACACGGGTGAAGACAAAACGAGGATTTATTTGCCTTTCCAGGCCTTGATTTTCCTAAGATAGAACTCCAACTCTTTGCCCTCTAGCACATAGCCATCTGCTCGGCCACACTGTCCCTGCCTGGAAGCAATGCATGCAAGAAGCTTGCCCTGCTGGAACTGCTCCTCCAGGAGACTGCTGATTTTGGCATTCTTTTACCTTTCATCATATTTCTTCTGAATTTTTTTAGATCGTTTTTTGTTTAAAATCTCTTCTTCCTCAGGAGTCAGCTTGGCTCCCTTCTTGCGGCCCAGGGGCAGTGCGTAGTGGGACTTGTACTACTGTCGGTACAGTGTGCTGTTGATGAGCACGATGCAATTCTTCACCAGGGTCTTGGTACGGACCAGCTCATTGTTAGATGCATTGTAGACAACATCGATGATCCTTGTTTTACGAGTACAACACTCTGAGCCCCAGGAGAAATTCCCTACGTCCAGCCTCAGGGCACGGTATTTCTTGTTACCTCCCCGCACACGGACTGTGGGAATGCGGCGGGGGCCAATCTTGGTGTTGGCAGCCGGGTGCCCCAACTCATACTTCTGCTTCTTGTGGTAGGGCTTTCTCTTGCCCCTGGTTTTGCATGCTTATGCCAGTTGTCCCGAGAGATGCCCATTGCTCGGCGCTGGCTGGAAAGAGCAATGTGCTACTTTATAATACTTTTATTTTGCTCTCATTTTGTGACTTGATTGGATAAGTCTTTGTTTTGCAGAAAAATTCTCAGTCTAGTTAAAGATAGGGAAAATGTATTTATTTTAGTTCTCATACTCTTAGGGAAATCCAGTAGCAATAATTTATATTAGAGTTTTGTTATAGAAATTACAGTTAAAAGACAACTTGCATTATCCTAACACATACCTTACAGTTGCAGTTTTACATATTCATAATCTTATAAATGTTTTTTGAACCTTATTAATAAATTGAGATGCCCTCTAATATGTAAAACAAGTCAGTTTTATTGTGACTTAATGTTTTCTAGATGAAGGTAATGAAACAGAAGTGCAGCCACAACAAAACAGCCAGTTAATGTGGAAACAAGGTCGACAACTACTCAGACAGTAAGTGTCCCAAGGTCAAACTTATATGAATGGCTGAAGACAAGAAACAGTTTTATGAAGTTATTTTTACTATGTATTTTCAAGTCAGATGAATATTTTCTCTCTTATTATACGGATGCTGTGAAAAAGCTTAATTGAATTACTGTTCCTTTTTCATATTAAATACTTTTTCTGTGTGGTAGAACTTATATAGTTAAAAGAGTTTTATACCTTTAAAGTTACTCTTTTCATTGCATATTTTGTGTATGAATATATAACATTTTAATATATGTGCAATTGGTCAGGCACAGTGGCTCACACCTGTAATCCCAGCACTTTGGGAGGCCAAGGTAGATGGATCACTTGAGGTCAGGAGTTTGAGACCACCTTCACCAACATGGTGAAACCCCATCTCTACTAAAAATACAAAATTAGCCGGGCATGGTGGCACATGCCTGTAATCCCAGCTACTTGGGAGACTGAGGCAGGAGAATTGCTTGAACCCGGGAGGTGGAGTTTGCAGTGAGCCGAGATTGCACCATTGCACTCCAGCCTGGGCAACAAGAGTCAAACTTCATATCAGGAAAAAAAAAAAAAATGTGCAATTGGAGTTTACATGCAATTTTGTTATGTTTTTTAAATAATTGGAGAACTTTTTGAATTCTCCAAATTCGCAAATATTGCCTAACATGTACTTCCTTCCTTCCTTCCTTCATTCATTCATTCATTCATTGAGATGGAGTCTCTGTCGCCCAGGCTGTAGTCCAGTGGCACAACCTTGCTCACAGCAACTGCTGCCTCCTGGGCTCAAGTGATTCTCTTGCCTCAGCCTCCAGGGTAGCTGGGACTACAGGCGTGTGCCTCTACGCCTGGCTAATTTTTTTGTGTTTTTGTAGAGATGGGATTTTGCCATGTTGTCCAGGCTGGTCTCAAACTCCTGACTTCGAGTATTCTCCCAGCCTCAGCCTCCCAAAGTGCTGAGATTACAGGTGCGAGCCACCACGCCCCGTCACCTTTCTTCTGTAAAATATTAGTATGTATTTGAGACAATAAAGAGTAAACAAAGATGGGTTGAGGTTCTGATATCAAGAGGTAGACTAGACTCACCAGCTCAGTGCCTGGTTCTTGATTACCACCTTTGAAACTCATATTCAGATTTGTGCCTCAGTAAAATGTAATTTGCTACCTGGTTTTTTGGAGGTTGATGATAAATTGTTTAAACCCAAGGTTTCCAAAGTGGATGTATAGCAGCTATTCCTTTTGACTACGGAAGGAGAATCTTAAAATGTCTTTACGTATCTATTTTTTAATCTAGATAGTTACAAGAAAATGAGATATTTTATGATATTTAATAAGTGGATTTTTACTAATGCCCACACTTTGATCTTAAATATGACTTACACATCTTCCTTTTTAAAATAGATGTGTTCTTAGAATGCTAATCTTTTTTAAAACGAAAAATGGTTTCATAATCAGCTACCCAAGAGATATTTTCAAAAACTTCAAAGGACCCATAATCTGTTCTTCAGAGTAAAGGTGTCATTTTATCGATGAATGGGGAAGTAACTGTTTAGTAAAACCAGCTTATCTATGGCAAGAGCAGTTTTGAAACAGGTATTTGTAATGTGATTTTGTTGCCAAATTGAGGTATGTCTCAAATATTATTTGTTAAAAATGGAAAAATACAACATCTTTGAAGCAGTTTTCAAGAACTTTAAATTTAGGAAAGTTGGGAATTAATTATCCAAATTTTAATCGAGACCTTTCTGTAAATATTGGATGGGATTGAAAAACGAGCATCTTGATTTGGTAAGATACACTTAACTCCCTTTGATCACATATGTTTTTGAGAACTGTTTCAGCTACTATAACTAAGACCAAATCTTCCAATAAACTGAACTTAAACTGGTTATCTCATCAACCTTTGTTTTCTTCTTTCATCCAGTAGACTTGGTGCCTACTTATAAGTTAATGTCTGATGTTTGTCTGTCATGTTTATTAATGGCATTTACCTTTTTCATGGTCCTGCCACTGCCACTTTTGGTCTCTTTTGGTCAACTTTGGTGTTACTAGGCACTGAGTGCTTTCTATATGCCAGGTACAATATTAGGTGTGTCTGTTTTAGGGATTAGAAAACTGAGGTTCAGGAGAATTAAAGTTATGCAAGTAAGTGGCAGAAATAGGACCCAGATCTAGCTCTCAATACAAAGCCTTTGCTCTTTTTTTGTGCTGCTGCCTTTCAGTAACGTACACACACGTGTGTACACACACCCCCTACATTCTACAATTTAATTGCCATCTATTTTTATTTTAAAGTTGTCTCAGGATAGAAGCTTCAATTCTGCAGAAGTGACTCGAGAAATACTGCCTTCTTGTGTGTAATGAAGGACACCCTATATGCTAGGAACATTCTGTCTAGATCACAAACAGTTGATCCATGACGAATGTAAAAAACTACTGAAGTAACTATTATAAAATACTGATTTGGTACAGTCTAGGAGTGAGCTAGCTCCAATCCAGCCTAAGGAAAGAATGTGCTATTAGATATATTAAAGACCAGCTTCTTCTTATAGTAAATGTAATGAATGGTGTATTGTATAGTTCTCTCATTTTTCTCAGTGACTGTAGAGGCTGGTACTGCAAGAGACAGCTCCATCTGCAGCTGGAAGATTATTTATTAACAAGTCTTACTAGCATAGTACTGTACTGTTAAGTCTTATGCAGGGTATGAGCATAAATAAATACTTTTATTTACATATTAAATTATAGAATACTGATTCCAGTATGACTGAACTCTAAGGATTCTCTTCACACAGGTATCTACAGGAGGTGGGTTATACAGATACTATTCTAGATGTGAAATCCAAACGAGTGCGAGCTTTGTTGGGCTTTTCAAGTGATGTCACTGACAGGGAAGATGACAAAAATCAGGACTCAGTTGTAAATGGCACAGAGGCTGAAGTTAAAGAGACAGCAATGATTGGGTAAGTATTTTGTCTGGAAAGTGTTTTAGCTATAATTAGTTCTTATTAAATATTTTTGGTTTTATGGGCATTACTTGTTCTTTTAGGTAGTGACATAGAAGTAATTTAATTATAATTTAATAAAAATTCTAAAATTTTTTTTGGTTAGAAGGTAACACAAGGATTAGAGTTACCATTTATGACTTTTAATTCAGGAATATTATTTATGATATTTATTTGCTTGAAACGTATGTATTTAATACGGATTTTAGTATATTGACTTAAACACTAAGTAAAACTTCAGAAAAGATTTTATTTGGAAATTCAGTACAAATCTGTAAGCATGACATTTCATGATTGGTGATCCAGAAATTGTAAAAATACCTCAAATTCTTTAGAAGTAACCCTGTTTTTTAACCACTTTTGTTTATCTGATAATGTTGTAATTTATCTTTCCTTTGATATAAAATATCTATTTTAAGTAGCTATTTTGAAGTGACAGCGTAAGTGTGAAAAATTCAGTAGCTATTTGAAATATTTTATTTTCCATTTTGGATTGTGTATCATATAATTATATGTAATTCTACTCAAAATAAGCATAAACAGTTCAATAAAGAGATTCTTATTTATTGGGAAAAAATTTCCATGATTGTTAATTGAATAAAAAACCGAAAATTCTGTGAATGTTTGACTTTTATTTTGACACTTGTTTAGGAAGGAAGAGTGGTTTTAATTGAATTCTATAAATTTTCTAGCAAGAAGATAGTTCCTGTTATTTGGAATATAAATTAAAATTATGGGATTAGGTAAAGGTTCATTGTAGGATTTTTATAAACAAAGTTCCTTCGAGCCTTAAAGTGTATTCAGTAATAATTAAGAATACATTTCCAACTTTGTAGGCTGCGTTAAAAAATACATTAACTTGTATTTGTAAATGTAAGGCATGGTATTTCTCTGTATAGACATAGACTGTGGACATTATCTTTAGTTCTGTTTTTACGTTATGGGTTTAACGTAAGTCATCAAGTTAACTTAGATAGTATAATTTTTTATTTTATTTTGTTTATTTATTTTTTGAGACAGTCTCACTCTGTTGTCAGGCTGGAGTACAGTGGCGTGATCTTGGCTCACTGCAACCTCCCCCTCTTGGGTTCAAGCAGTTCTCCTGCCTCAGCCTCCCGAGTAGCTGGGACTACAGGCACCAGCCACCACGCCTGGCTAATTTTTTGTATTTTTAGTAGAGACGAGGTTCCACCATGTTGGCCAGGATGTTCTCAATCTCGACCTCGTGATCTGCCCACCTTGGCCTCCAAAAGTACTGGGATTACAGGCATGAGCCACTATGCCTGGCCGATAGTATAAATGTTTTTGAAAACCATAATGCATACTTTAATAACCTTCAGTAAAGACTTTCAGGAAAGACCACTCTTGTGCATTTTGGCCTTGATTTGTCTTTTAAGAATGACAAAGATACTGTTGCTAATCTGTCCGATTTCAGTAGGGATAAAGAGTTAGGGGAGGGTGATACCAAACACAAAGCTGTAAGCAGATTTGAAATTTTTGGGAAAATCCTCTCTGTCTGAAAGATTACCTAATGAACTGGAGATAAATCTTTCTGTACTGGCCATTGAAATCTTTACTAAATTTGAGGGAACTAAATTCAAGTCATATATTTGAAAATTCAGCCATTTTTAAGAGATTAATGGCTTGTTAATCAACAGAGTCAAGTCTAGTAGCAATGTTAATTTGACTAGTGTATTGCTGTTAGTAACTTTAGGTACACATTTTCTCTTTTACTTTAGCTGTTGAGCAGAAATACAAGATTGCATCAGAGAAAAATGACATATTTGTTATTTCCTTAGTTGTGGAAACTTATGTAAGAAGTCAAAGGGAGAGTTGCAGAGAGGATAAGAGTAGAGAAAAAAGGAGGTAGAGATAATGAAAATATTTTAAAAAGAGAAATACATTAAGGTTGGTGTAAGGATCAAAATAATAATGAATCAGAAAGGGGAGTTTTTTACATTAGATTACCACTAATCTAAATAGATATGAGTAGCTCACGCCTGTAATCCCAGCACTTTGGGAGGCTGACTGAGGCTGAGGTGGGCGGATCACTTGGACTCAGGAATTAGAGACCAGCTTGGACAACATAGTGGAACCCTGTCTCTACTGAAAATACAAAATTAAAAGGGCATGGTGGCTCATGCCTGTGATCCCAGCTGCTCAGGAGGCTGAAACTGGAAAATTGCGTGAACCCAGGAGGCTGAGATTGGAATGAGTTAGATCATACTACTGCACTCTAGCCTGGGCGACAGAGCCCAGAGACTTTGTTTCCAGGTAGGTAGGTAGGTAGGTAGATAGGTAGGTAGATAGGATTACAAAGTACTTAAAGAGTATCCACTTCATGTATTGCTTTTTAAATTTGTGAGGGTGTAATTGATAAGAATCAATGTAGATAATATGATTTGGGATTTATAGTTACCATATAAACAGAAGTTAATGCAACATATCATGGGTTAATTCTTTTGTCGAAGTTAAAAAGATTAACTAAGCAGTATATACATGTTTTACACCAGAAAATCAGAGTTAACAGATTCTGCCTCCGTGCTGGATAATTTCAAATTCCTTGAAAGTGCAGCTGCAGATTTCAGTGATGAAGATGAAGATGATGACCTTGATGGAAGAGAGAAAAGCGTCATTGATACTTCAACAGTGAGTTAGATAACTCATATGATATAAATATTTTTAGGGACTATGATACATACTGTATAATGCATAAAAGAATCCATGTTCTTTAATCTTAACCCCTAGCTTTTTCTTTTTCATGAATTCGGAGACATTTATGAGGTTTTGTAATATTGATTTCAAGTTAAGAATATTTTTAGTATAGTAGCTTTCTCTTGAAATTCCTCACTTTTTGACTTTTTGTTCATTCATTGAACAGGACAACTTTTCTATGGGGCAGATGAATATAGTAAATACTGTGTGTTATAACAATGCAGGGTTATTGGTTGTTAGAATTGACAGACACATCATGGTGCCTGATGGCGACTAGCATCAGCTCTAATATATGCAGTTTTTGTCTCTCTTGTCAGGATTGTTTTGGTAGACAAATTCTGTAGACTTTCAGAACTCTTCCATTAGATTTCTTCAAAATTGTTTAGGATTCTTCTCAAGTTTCGTTCAGATGTTTATAAGCTTATTGACTTTCCCATGGCAGTTTCTTGGAATGAGAGATGTCTCTAAGTACCTACTTCTTTCTCTTCCCTTCTCTATTTTTGTCTCTTTTTCCCTCTTTCCCCTTTTCTTCTCTCTTCGCTTTTCTCCCCTTCTCCCTTCTCCCTCTTCTTCCTTCTTCCTCCTACTCCTTTTCCTTCTTTTTTAAGTAAGATATGAGGACATGTTTTGCTTTGTCTAGGAAAATGTTTGCATTTTTTCTTTCACACTAATTTATGAATAGAGAGGAGGAAAGTAAAGTAATATAAAGCAGATTGGACCTCTAAATAAAGACTTGGGTTTAAGCTCCAGTTTTGCCACTATTTGTGTTTCTTAATGCTTCAGGCTTAGTTTTTTCATTTGTAAAATGAGGATTGTTATAAATAGCCATTTTAACCATGGAGGATTTTGTGAGGAACAAAGAGACACTATGTGCGAAAATGATCTGTTTAAGTGTAAAGTGCTTTCTAAGTGTAACCTGTCTGTGTTTTACGCCTTCTGTTTCTTGGGCGCCATCAGAGACTCAAATTATTACTGCCAGATTGTTGTTTTCCCTCACCACTATTCAGTAGTATTCTACTGATAAAGCCCTGCCATGGAAATTATTTGAACTTCAAGTAGTAACCTCCAATTTTTTTTATCCAAACAAGCAGTAGTAGCATATGTCTCAGTTTACCATAGTAAAAGGAAAAGCCTAAATTTCTGTGACACTTTTTCTGTGTCTTGATCATCTGGAAATTGTGTAGCCCCTTGTGATTTCTATGGGATGCTGGCATTGAGATATTATTTTTCCATCAAAATACTTTATTCATAGCTCAGTATTAAATAATACCTTGAATCATAATGCTATATGATTCTGTAAGTTAGTAATATCAATTTAAATATTCAAAACATTCATAAACTAATTATTAAAACTATTACATATGATCTTACCAGAAATTCCTAAACCACAGACTGTTATCTTTTTAAGTAAGCAACATAATAAATATACTGTCTTCTAATTAGTGCAGATTATAGCAGTTCTGTACTGAGTGCAGTGGCTTGTGCCTGTAATCCCAGCTACTCAGGAGGCTGAAGTGGGAGGATCAGTTGAGGCCAGGCAACATAAGCCTAAGCAACATAGCAAGACCCCATATCTAAAAAAAAATTTTTTTTTAATTAGCCATGTGTGATGGCACACACCTGTATTTCCAGCTACACAGGAGGCTGAGGAAGGAGGATCGCTTGAGCCCAGGAATTTGATGTTGCAGTGAACCATGATCATACCACTGCACTAAAAAATTTTTTTAGTTTTGGCCGGGTGCAGGGGCTCACGCCTGTAATCCCAGCACTTTGGGAGGCCGAGACGGGTGGATCACAAGGTCAGGAGTTCAAGACCATCCTGGCCAGCATGATGAAGCCCGTCTCTACTAAAAATACAAAAAGTTAGTGGGGCATGGTGACATGCGCCTATAATCCCAGCTACTCAGGAGGCTGAGGCAGGAGAATCGCGGAGGCAGAGGTTGCAGTGAGCCGAGATTGTGCCACTGCACTCCAGCCAGGGTGAAAAGAGCAAAGTTCCGTCTCAAAAAAAAAAAGGAATGAACGAACGAAAGAAAGAAAGAAATGTAAAAGAAAGTGAAGAGGCAGATAATGAAGAAAAAGAAGAAGATGCAGAGGTGGAAAATAATCCCACATGTAACCTGAAGAACAAACTCCAAAGATGGCAAAGAGAACGAAGAGGATATGAGGCTCTTCTTTCTCATATGAGGCCGACCCTTGTCGGCCTCCCAAAGTGCAGGGATTACAGGCGTGAGTCACTGCACTTGGCCCTTATTTTTCTTTGCCGTCATTATTATCAGCATTCTCATCATCACCAGTTAAGTGTAATAACAACCTTGAGATTATACATGCATGTAAAAAGTGATCAGTTTCAAACTGTGTGAAGGCTAACTTCTGCAGCAACATTTAGTCTTCACACTCAGGAACTTTAGGAGGAAAAAGAATGGAACTAAGAGCTATTAACTATTTTTTTAGCCACAGTATAAAGAATCCCATGTCCCTCTGTGTCATGGCCCTCCTAATGGTTTTTGAAGTGACAGTTTATTCATTTTTCTAATCTGCTTAGGCATCCTATGTAACCCGTAACATCTTTGGTTTTCTCTTAATTTCTTAAATTGGTTTATAAGCTGATTGAAGGTAGAAGTGGAGTGGAACCTTCTATGTCAGGAAGAAAAGTAATATATGCTTATTATTACAAACTCTACCCCTTCCTATTCTAATGCTGTTCTCCAGTGGTAAACACAATTCATTTTTCTTCTATACCTAAACATTAAAAGCAGAGGACCTTTGGTTTATTTATTTAAAGTAGGATACTTAGTAAATAGTAATCTGCAATGACAGTAATAAATACGTCATTTATCTTTATTCTTTGTAAGGTTATACTGAGGCGATGAGACTAGTAACAGGTTTTTTCCCCCAAGAGTTTCTTTTGTTACTTAATACCATATTTAATGTTGAAAATACATTCAGACTTGCAATTTGAAGTTTCATGTACTTCTTATGGATTTTCCCTGGTCTTTTTGTCAGGCAGTGAGAACAAGGACTCTGTCTGTAAGATGTTGGAGATGGTCCCTCTGAATTACATCTGGCAACTCATCAGAGTCTAGAAGAGGAGACATTAAGCCTCTAGGGTAAAAGAAGATAGATTAGGCAATATATTTATACGTGGAACTCTGAGAATTGGGGTGTCCTGTTGGCATAACTCTTCAGATACACCTTTCTTTTTCTTTTTCTTTTTCTTTTTTTGTAATGGAGTCTCACACTGTCACCAGGCTGGAGCTCAGTGGTGCAATCTCAGCTCACTGCAAGCTCCGCCTCTTGGGTTCACGCCATTCTCCTGCCTCAGCCTCCCAGGTAGCTGGAACTGCAGGCGCTCGCCACCGCGCCTGGCTAATGTTTTTCTTTCATATTTTTAGTAGAGACGGGGTTTTCACTGTGTTAGCCAGGATGATCTCGACTTCCCGACCTTGTAATCCACCTGTCTCGGTCTGCCAAAGTGCTGGGATTGCAGGCATGAGCCACCGTGCTTGGCCCAGATACACCTTTCTACCTTAGGCTGGCTACCTAGGGAAAATTAGAACAGAATATTAGAATATGGTTTGTATTTATAAAAGAATATACATTCAGCATGGGTTTTCTGTCCCAGTCTGCCACACTGATCTTGCTTTTTTTGTTTATCTAATAGATTTGCTAGATGTCAAGAGTGGGAGGTGCTGTAAGCATAGAAGTATTTCTTGATTTTAGGAAAATATCCCAAATAGTTAAACAAATTATTCTAGCGTCATTAAATACTCCTTTGATTTCTCCTATCCAGTTTTTATAAGTACCAGGACAGTTAAGGCCAGATAGGTTTTATCTGTGATGCCACCTTTGTTCTGTTGGTAGTGGTTTCTTGGAGTGCTGTGCTGAGAAGGATTTCTGAGGCTGTATCTTGTCTTTGATGATGAATGCTGTGATTGATGAATGATACCAATTATCAGCATGGGAACAGGGCCATACAAGTTACGTGTTTGTCATGTCTTGGAGTCTACTTCTGAACTCTCTAGTCTATCCTGTTGGTCTGTCTGTAAAACTTTTATATTTTTAAGCCACTCATAATAGTCCAGCGATAACATTTGATCATATCATGCTATTTCTGTTTTGCATGAAGTGAAGAAGCTGAAGTCTAGAGAAACTGAGGTATTGAAATTTTATTCAAAGAAAATGCAAACCTAGCATCCTAATTTCTTTATGCCCATGTTGGTAAAGGTGATTGAGAAGGAGATAATTCATAAAGAGCTTAGGCGTGTAGATCTCAAAAATTGCCTCTGCATATATTAAGCTTAAGTTTTAGCCCTTCAACTGGATTTATGATTCCAGAGTTATTTCTAAATACAGAAAAATGAAACATAACAGCCTTTGCCAATTTGGTGTTAAATCTAAGTTAGATGCACTCTGAAAAATCAACATTTTAGGGAAAAAATTAAATACATGGAGAGCTACTAGAGAAAACTGATGCAAGGTTGGGACAGTAGAAATAATTATGGGAACCTAACAGAGTACCTTGTAAATCAACTAGCTGCTGTTTCAATACATGTCTTATATTTCAGCATGTGGTTCCATTGGTTTACTTAAAACAAGCCGTAATACCATTGAACAAAGTCTAAATTACTGCTTTAAAATTTATAATATACATCTTTTTTAAAACTATGTGATTTTCACTGAGTTAGATCGTACAGTTATTTAACACAACAGAGGTACACTTTCTGAAGAAAATAATTGAATTTTCTTATTCAGTGGTGAAGGGAAGCTATCTCTTATTTAATTTAGCATGTTTTTTCATCAGATTGTTAGGAAAAAAGCATTGTCTGACAGCAGTGAAGATCGAGATACAAAAGAAGCTCTAAAGGAGTTTGACTTCTTGGTTACATCAGAGGAAGGAGACAATGAATCTAGGAGTGCAGGCGATGGAACAGACTGGGGTAAGGAAGCATACTGGATCCAACTAGAGATGTTAAGTAAATAAAAGAAATTTGTATTTTACCAGGAGGGCAATATCTTAACTATAATGTTGAAATATTGAACATTCTGTGAACTTGTTACTACTAGCACCCTTTATCCAGGGTGTTTGTGTGTGTATGTTTAAAGAACATTGTATAACTACTTCATTTAAAAAGAAAAAAAAAACAGTATAAAAAGAATTTGAATTACTAAATAGAATATTCTGTTTTCTGTTTAGACAGTAGAACTTGCAAATCTAGATTTTTGTGGAAATTGATTATGAGACTTTAGAGGATTTTTGGAGATCTCATTTCTGACATCTTACATGCAAAAAGAAGTATAAGTTAGAAAAGTGTAGTCAGTCATTCATTGTAGTTTAAGATTTGACAGTTTGTACAAGGCATAGAAGTTTTCTTCTCAAAATGTTCTAAAAAAATCGAATATTTTAAACATCTAATAAGAGTTAAAACAAGTATTTTGGGGAAACTTCCACAGCATAGATCATTCTAGTATGGAGAGGTTATCACTATCAAGCTATTTAATAGAACAAAGGTACACTTTTTGTTTTTGAGATGGAGTCTAGCTCTGTTACCCAGGCTAGAGTACAGTGGGGCGATCTCGGCTCACTGCAGCCTCCACCTCCCAGGTTCAATCTGTTCTTCTACCTCAGCCTCCCAAGTAGTTGGGATTATGGGCACCCATGACCATGCCCAGCTAATTTTTGTATTTTTAGTAGAGACGGGGTTTTGCCATGTTGGCCAGGCTGGTCTTGAACTCCTGACCTCGGGGTGATCCACCTGCCTCGACCTCCCAAAGTGCTAGGATTGCGGGCATGAGCCAGTGTGCCTGGCCCAGTGGCACACTTTCTGAAGAAAGTCATTGAATCGACTTAAGGTAGGATTATGATAAATCCTTCAAAACAAAAGTGATTCATTTCATCAGATGTATGTATATTTGTGTGAGAGAGAGAGAGAGACAGAGATTGAAATTGAGAGAAATTTTCTCTTGGGATTGAAGAATTTCGTTACTTAATTAGTTTACGCTCTGTGTACTTCATTTTCCTTGGAGCTTTTCTTTTTTTAGAGACAAAGTGTCACTCTGATGCCCAGACTGGAGCGTAGTGGCTTGAATACAACAAACTACAGCTTCAACCTCCTGGGCTCAAGTGATCACAGGTGTGCACCATTACGCCTGGCAACTGTTTTTGGTTTTTAGTAGAGACAAGGTCTTGCCATGTCACCCAGGCTGGTCTCAAAATGGGTTTAAGTGATCCTCCTGCCTTGGTCTCCCAAAATGCTGGAATTATAGATGTGAGCCACCACTCTCAGCCTCCTTGGAGCTTTTCTTTGGGACCAACTTAACTATGTTGAACTTTAAACTTTGAATGTTTTATTCTTTAAAAAAATTGATAAAGTTGGCTGGGTGACTCAGACCTGTGATCCCAGGACTTTGGGAGGCCAAGGTGGGAGGATTGCTTGAGTCAAGACGTTCGAGACCAGGCTGGGCAACATGGCAAAACCCTATCTCTACAAAAAAATACAAAAATTAACTGGGCATGGTGGCGTGTGCCTGTAGTCCCAGCTGCTTGGGATGCCAAGGTGCAAGGATCGTTTGAGCCTGAGGAGGTTGAAGTGAGCCATGATCAAGCCACGCCAGCCTGAGTGACGGAGTAAGACCCTGTGTCATAAAGAAAAGGATAAAGTTATTTTCACACTTGTAATTTTTTGTCTGCTACACCGTATAGTTCTGCTGATGACCTAATATAACTTCCTACTTTCAAGGTTTTCTTTCAACCCTAAAGCGAAATTTTAAGGATATTTCATCTTCGTTTTTGAAGTTGTGTTTTTACTATGTGTCGTATACATTTCACTTAAAACAAGAGCACACATTTTTCTTATGAAGGGTTTAGGAAACTAGTTTTCAAAAAAACTAAATATGTTGGGGGAAAGTAAGTGACAAAATCTTTCTTTCTGTTTGGCTATTCTGGCACATTAACTGTTGGTCTCCCGCTCTTTAATTGACAAATCTACAAATTAGATTACATTAAGACCTGTTAAGGGAAGACTAGGAGATTTTTTGCTTCTTTGAGGAAAAGGAATGGATAATTGATTTCTCTGTTTTTAAATTTCTTTTTGAGATGGAGTTCTGCTTTTGTTGCCTAGGCTGGAGTGCAATGGCACTATCTCGGCTCACTGCAACCTCTGCCTCCTGGGGCGGCTTCAGCCTCCCTAGTAGCTGGGATTATGGGCGCCTGCCACCATGCCTGGCAAATTTTTGTATTTTTAGTAGAGATGGGGTTTCGCCATTTTGGCCAGGCTGGTCTCAAACTCCTGATCTCCGGTGATCCACCCACCTCAGCCTCCCAAAGTGCTGGGATTACAGGCGTGAGCCACCGCACCCAGCCGGTTTCTGTTTGTTTGTTTATTTTTGAGACGGAGTCTCGCTGTCTCCCAGGCTGGAGTGCAGTGGCACGGTCTCGGCTCACTGTAAGCTCTGCCTCCTGGGTTCACACCATTCTTCTGCCTCAACCTCCCCAGTAGCTGGGACTACAGGCGCCTGCCACCATGCCCGGCTAATTTTTTGTATTTTTAGTAGAGACGGGGTTTCACCGTGTTAGCCTCGATCTCGGTCTCCTGACCTCATGATCCACCTGCCTTGGCCTCCCAAAGTGCTGGGATTACAGGCGGGGGCCACTGCGCCCAGCCCGCTTTCTCTGTTTTTAAAGTGTAGAGCATATTTTGCATTTATAGGTAGGTAACTTCTATAGTATTCACATATCCACAAGGTAAATATGACTGACGTAGTAATCTTTCACAGTTCATGACAGCAATAATTTACTAAACCTTTTGAAAAATAATTAATTTGTATTTAACACATTTTGAAATTAAACATTATTTAGCATTCTTTAATATTTGGCTGAAAAATTTTTCTTACGTTTTTCTGCCACTGAGAAGTTAGAGTCCTTATACAGAGGAAATAGGATTACGTGCTATAATTTGGTATTGTAATTTACTTTTTCAGGATTGTGCTTTGGCATAGGGGAAAGGTGAGAGGCAAACATACAGAAGGTTACCTTATTTCCATTTCCCTGTTTTGAAATAGTTTACAAGAGTCTTTGGTTTTGAGTCTGCAAAAAGTTGTTTGCAATTTTCTGACACCTCACAATGAGATTTTAGAATGTATTGATTTGCTAAATGTCAAATTATATTTATTTCAATACAAATTAATGGCATAGAGATGTGATTGTATAGAAGACTTAGTTAAGACATGCTAAAGTATTAATGAGAAGATGGTTGCATTTTTTTTGTTTTTTTGAGACGGGGTCTTGCTCTGTTGCCCAGTTTGGAGTATAGTGGCGCGTTCTGGGCTCCCAGCAACCTCTGCCTCCCAGGTTCAAGTGATTCTCCTGCCTCAGCCTCCCGAGTAGCTGGTACTACCGGTGTGCACCACCAAGCCCAGCTAATTTTTGTACTTTTAGTAGAGACTGGGCTTCGCCTCCTTGGCCAGGATAATCTTGAACTCCTGAACTTGGATGATCCGCCCGCCTCAGCCTCCCAAAAGTACTGGGATTACAGGCGTGAGCCACTGTGCCCGGCCGAGAGTTGGAATTTTGACATTAAAGTTTTCCAACTTATGTTAAATTTAAATAAGACTGGGCGCAGTGGCTCGTACTTGTAATCTCAGCGACTCCCGAGTCTGAAGCAGGAGGATAACTTGAATCCAGGAGTTCCAGACCAGCCTGGGAGTTATAGTGAGACCCCATCTCAGAATGAATGAATGAATGAATGAATGAATGAATGACCTATTTTTGCCCATATTTGAGAATTTTAACTAAAAGAGAAAATTACACTAAATGATACTATCGATGAATATTGCTTTTATTTATTTACTTATTTATTAATAAAAAAATAGAGATGGGTTTCACTATATTGCCCAGGCTAGTCTCTAACTCCTGGGCTCAAGTGATCTTCCTACCTCAGCCTCCCAAAGTGCTAGGATTACAGGTTGAGCCACTGTGCCCAGCCAAATGTTTTCTGGGTGATTGGTTGGTTGGTTTGTTTTGAAACAGAGTCTCACACTGTTTCCTGGGCTGGAGTGCAGTGGTGCGATCTCAGCTCACTGCAGCCTCCGCTTCCAGGGTTCAAGCAATTCTCCTACCTCAGCCTCCCAAGCATCTGGGATTACAGGTGCCCGCCACCACCCCCAGCTAATTTTTTGTAGTTTTATTAGAGACGGGGTTTCACTGTGTTTGCCAGGCTGGTCTCAGACTCCTGACCTCGTGATCCGCAAATATTCAAATACTCTTAAGTTTATATTTAAATTTTCATGAAGATATTTAGGATAAGATTTGTGGTTTGTGTTGCTTTTCACCCACTGAAATTTAAGAACATTTGCTAAATTGAAAAGACCTTAATGGCTTAATATTTGGGCAAGTATTTATTTGTTGTGAGAATGTAATGTATCATTTTGATATTATTTTTCGTTTATCTTTATATAAAAACTTCCACTAAGTTTTCTTAAAAGATGAACCCATGTTTTTTTATTTGAAATAGACGTTCCTTTAAGTTAATATTTCATCCATAAAGATAAAAGTAGCTCCAAACGTGATATAAAATTGTTTTATAGAATTTATTATTTAGATGTAGATATACCACATTATGAACTTTTCATCTACTTTTATTTAAACAGCTATATTAAATAGATATTTTTTCTTTTCTATTTTACTGTTCTTCACCATAGGATATTTATTCATTTTTATGACCTTAAAAAAGTTGTTGGCCAGGTGCAGTGGCTCACGCCTGTAATCCCAGCACTGCGGGAGGCCAAGGCGGGCAGATCACGAGGTCAGGAGATCGAGACCATCCTGGCTAACATGGTTAAACCTGTTTCTACTAAAAATACAAAAAAATTAGCCGAGCGTTGTGGCACACGCCTGTAGTCCCAGCTACTCGGGAAGCTGAGGCAGGAGAATCGCTTGAAC